TAGCTTGTACAGAAATTCAACGTACATATGAACAACGTCGACGTGATCATTATCAACTGCAAACGGAAGGAACATCTGTCCTTGAATCACTATCAACAATAAAAGATCTTAAAGGATATTTAGAAAAATTAGATGTTGCTATTGAACGTGAACAACAACGAGAACGTGTTTATTCAAATTCAGATATGCCTGTTAATATAAAACTTGAACCAAATGATTTTATGGATGACGAAGATTTTAATCATAATGAGTAAATTTTAAAATAATAACATTTCTATTAATATTATTTTCTTTGTTATAGAGATAATCATGAAAATCATACTATTTCAAATTCTTGTAAGTAGTATATATATATAATAACTTTAATATTTTGTTATTGTTAAATATTTAGTATCGAACAGTAGAAGTTTATCAACAGAAAATAAAGATAATAAATCTGACGAGTAAATATAGGAATATTATTTTTTCAATTTATTATATTTTATCTATTAGATTATCAGCGGAAGAAGGAGAACGTAGTGATACTAATTTTAGTGATATTAATGATGCTGATAGTGTAAGTAGAAAACATATATCATTTTAACAAAAATTAATTTCCTTATTAAAATTGACTAAAAGAGAAAAACACATTTCTTATTATATTTATTTCAATTCTATAATTTCTAATTGTAGGATAATGAAGAACGTCATCAACATACAACATCAAATAGTGATTCAGCTAATCTAAAGCAATCTGTGACTATATATCGTGGTCTATGTCCATTAACTCGTGTTGGTCTTTTTGGTATTCTTCCAATACATAATATTCGATTATGTGAAGGAAAATCAAGTTGTCTTTATAATCATTTACAAAGTTTTCATCATATGACAGCTCGTAGTGCATATAAAGTTTGTAAAGCTGTTTTAAAACAACGTGATCCAATTTTAACAGTACTTTTTGGTTCAGAAGATATTTTATATAATAAACATTTTCATATTGCTTGTCCATTTAATGAAGATGCAAAGAATCCATTTGAATGCCAACCAAAATATATATATAAAGCTCCATGTTCATCAATAATATCACGTCTTGATATGCCAAGACATTTACGTGATGTTCATCATGTTTATCGAACTAGTGCATTAAAAATAGTTGCTGAAATGAGACGTTGTTCAAAAAATTCCGATAAAAATCAAATTCTTAAATTAAATCCAACGCTTTTCGATAAACATGAAAATATTATTGAAGTAATCGATGAGAAATCTAATACACGAGTAAATATTCTTTTTAAACATTATTCATTTGTTCTTTTAATATTTGTAAATTTTATTTCATTATTTAGATTGGTAAAAAAGTGAAACGGCGAAATTAGTCCATACTATTCTTGTGAATAAACATTGATTCCGCTCAGTTTTCAGATATGAATTTGTTTCGATTTATTGAATTCGATCTTAAATTCTAATGTTTTCCTCTGTAAAAAAATTTCCACACCAATGTCTATAATTTTGTTTACATGTCTTGTTTTTTTTTAATTGCTATATGTTTTAAACGATGTGATATTCTCATAGCTTTGTTTATGTACTTAGTGATGATATAATTTGTTGTTTATATGGTGTTTTTTTATTTCAATTTTAGATGAAACAAATTTCATTATTATCTGATATTTCAAATGATTTATTCTTTGAAATATTTGATTATCTTGATGTATTCGATATTTTCCAAGGATTTTACAATTTAAATCAATATTTCAACTATTTAATTATAAATCGACATATTTGTTTTCAAGCAAATATGTTATCGTTAAAACCAAATGAATATTCTATTTATAAAAATATTATTTTACCAAAAATTAGTTGTTATATTCGTTATTTATCAATATCGGATGAATTGAATTATTTACAAATAATTCTCCATTCATTTTCCTTCGTTAATTTACAATCAGTTCGATTGTATAATGTTAAATTAAATGAATTAAAAATTCTACTTCAATATTGTAAGTTAAAATCAATTTTAATTGATACAAATTCTATTCAAAATGAAAAACATCTAAATGAAATATTTAAGATTTTATTCAATCAACAATTAGATCTTCGATCAATTCAATGTAATTTCTATACAAAACTACATTTTATTGAAGAACAATATAAATTAAGTAAAGTTAGAAAAGTTATTATTGATTGTGAATGTTTTTCAAGTGATCTAATTGTTCTGATATCTCAATTACCAGAATTATATCATTTAAGTGCATATATTAATGATCATAATCGAGAATGTATGGATAAAGATATTGATCATATATCTGAAAGTAAATCTCTTCGTTCACTTATACTTCATATTGAAAATATTGAT